TTCAAGTAATGAACTAGCAGTTTACGTGATTATGTATCTTCACTTGTTGCTCGACTGAGAATTTCAAGCTCCTTCAGAATGTGTTACAGAAAACTTACTAGAGTTGGAATATCCGTGATAGTCTTGGCCCACGAGCATAAACTTCGTATCAAGTGTCTACGTGTTTTTCATGACGGGACATTCTACTCATAAGGTACCTTAAACTCTTTGGCAGTTCACCACAGGTTTCGGCCTTCTGGGGCTGCATTAGGCGAACCTAGTCCTGGGTTTCTATGAAACTTATGTTCTATTTGAACAGATAAATACACTCATGCGCAATTTAAGCTGGTGTTAGTAGGATATTAAACCGAATCCAAACTGAAGCATGAGGTGGTCTTTTTGTAGCACATTCAGCTGAGTACCATGAACGAGAGATTCAGATGAGTCTCCCGTTAACTCGAAATTAGTTTGTAAATGAGTGAATTTCGTCAGTTTACCGGTGTTGTTTTACTTCCAGGAAAAAAAAAACCAAAAATGCGCGTGCTTAGGGAGGAAAAGGCGTTGAACTGGACGACACTAACCCTGCCAATATGTTTCTGTAATCTATTTGCAGCACGGTTTATACGACAGCTTCAGGCTCCGAATAGACACGTTAACTCGGGGCTTTGATTAGGACGGTTATGTATGATGTGAACCGCGTTCGTACGAGTCCCCTGGGACTGCATACATCTACTTTGATGCGAAAGATCACCGCGACTGTCAAAAGCAGTTATGCTTGTAGCTGAAACATCACCCCAACGACAACACCCAACATCTATTAAATTGTTTGACAAGCAAAGAACGATATCAAACAGTAGCTCTGGGCATTTCTTCACAGCGTTGTATTCGCAAATATAAAGTTACTCTTTGAATGTCCCGTGCCGCAATCTGTATATCTGAAGCAGACTTCGAGGCCCAGAGATCTTCAGATTGTTTACATCAGGATCAGCTACCGTTTGTTTCGAGAAGTGCGATATTTTTTCTACAGTCAGCATTGGAGCAACAATCAAAATTTCACGGCATAGACAGCGTGCAACATGCCACATCTTCACGTTCAGTCGAACCACAACGGCTAAAGTCAGTAGGGCCTGTCCCAAGCTGCGCAACGCCGCTTGACTCGCGTCTATCACCTGCGCGACTCTAAGCATCGGGGACAGTTGTCAGTGAGTTTACGGTGAATTATCACCCTAAGGCACGGGGAAATTCAAAGTGCGAATCATCGTCGCTGAATTGACCGAGGATGCGATGGCTTCACTTAAACAAGCGCAGTCACGCCTGATGTTGTTTTGGCCCAAAATAACCAATCATTCAATGTTTTGAAACGGTATAAAACATGCTGTGCAGAAGCGCATAAACTCGATACATTTTAAGTGATATGTTGAAGTAATATGATAATAATCGTTCAGCTGTAGCGCCCTTTCGGTTCCTAGTTGCCAGGCCACCTGAAGGAAGCACGAGGGATGGGATACTGTTAGGCTGCCCAAGCCTAGACAGGAAAGTCGATAGGCAGACGTCGGGTTCGAACCACGGACCTTCCGGTCAGTAAATTCTCTCTCTAAACATTTGAGCCATCTCGCCTCATATTTTGAAGTGTTGCGGTTTGAAATGGCAACAGTTGAACGGGTTGGTAAATTTTTTCGGTGAGCTTTTGCGCTCGCAGACCATAACACAGACAAAATTCTGCATGTATGTCACACATGATGACGCAAGGCAGTGGTTCCAATCACCTGCTTAGCTTGAAACATAGCTGTACCGAAATAGTGAGCGGTCAGAAATGACCACATAGTTATCCTCGTGATGAAAGCAATTAGGACATAATGAACAGGTCAAACATAAGTCTTTCGGAAACGTCAAACGGTTCAATGTCCGTATGTTGCTTACACTATTATCTGGTTCCTATTATCCGGTCGCCTCTTCCGCAGACTTCCTATGTCCAGTTAACAAGACTGGGATAGCTAAACGCAACGTACGGTCGGTACACGGTATGTTGCCGAGACACTGAACTGGCATCGTACCCCGCCTAAACGAGGAGCTTTCCTTTCGATTCGAAAGGGAGGAGACGAAAGCCGATCCAATACCGTACCAAACGTTGATTGAAGCGCGGAGGAACGGCATAAAGCAAGTAAGTTATCACAAAACGGACCTCAGTAATAACAACCCAACAACTTCAAAGTAGGGATTGTCCCTCTGATCGCAATCGGTTAAACACGTTTAAACCAGCATCACAGGCGTACTATGGAAAAATTCCGCAATCGCGCATGCCTATATTAAGCTCGACATTGAAGCTTTCGGTCATTTACGATGACATTGAAAATCCACTAGGGGTACGAACAGGGCGCCGGCCAATCAAACGAGGCGATGATGGCAGGATGGATTAATCATGAAGGGGTGAACAGCCTAGACATTTGCCAAAGAATTGGAAGCATATTTTTGTAATGAATAACAACTAGCGAGGGTCCAGTTAACCGTAACTATGTAAACTTTGAGTGTCAAATGCAGCGGAGAACGCGCGGGAGGATAGTTACATTGGCTGCTCTGAAAAAATCACCGCTTCCAGGCTCCTCTGTAGCAGTAGCCACGCTGCAGGCAGTTTTGGTCTTGAGGAAATACTAGGTTCTAGTAAAGCCCCTTAAAATGCAGGTTTAGCAGCCTTATAATCGATTGACAGCTTCTGTTTGTGTGTGTGTGGGTGTGTGGTTGAATCCACTATCAGTGTCAAACTTGATAGCAAATAGTCCCGACGTAGGCACTCGACATAACTGGCATGAGAAACACAGCTGCATGCAGCTTCAGCGCTGTTAAGATGACAGACATTAGTACACCTGTGCTGTATTTCGTTGGGTAAGACAAAGCTGTGGGAAGACGCAAGAATCTGGAGCGAACAGAAAGTTTTCAATCCAAATTCCACTACCAAAATCCTGTATGTGACGAGGTTTGTGAGCTAAATTTGGAAACATGCTTTTGCTTGTATTTATAATAACGAAAAATTTGTTGCACCATCGTTCGAGCTGAAACGCACACCATGCTGATAAACCCCAGTAGGGAGAAGCGGCCATTCACGGCCTCGCAGCGCAAGGCCTCAAAAAGTAGCGGAAGTTACGCGATAGAACATTCCTAGCCTTCTCTCTGTTCATGAGAGAATTTCCTGGGTCAAAACTTCATTGGTACAAGCAGTTATATTAATCAAATGTGGAGAAGACTGATTCGGCTGTCTGAAGAAAACCTACCTACATCTCAGACAGCTATGCGATCACTCCATTTTTCAAGCAGTCTCCGTACATACGATAGTAAAACACTGAAAAATGGTATGCAAAACCCGGAATTTAGTTCCAGTAAATCGGCCGGATGCTTTTATCAGACCGGAGAAAGGAAATGGGCCGCAACAAGACCGCCTATCGATCGAAAACGACCAGTCTTTGAGCCGGAATCACGGTTATTCCAAAATTCTTTTCCAAAAATCTCTGCTATCCGCCGTTTTATTTTTGTGTGCACTCGCACCTATGTACACGTGCGTCAAAAACACACATAACTTACGCCTGCGTGAATACGTTGTGCTCAACTGGTCGAAATGACCCCGTGGCTCACAGAATTGGTGCTGGGTGCAGCCGCACCCAGCCGAACACAAGTAACAGATAGTTTTCACTGTTCCCGGCGCCGCATCCAACACTACCTGAATACACAGCAAACAATCAATAGGCAGCACAAAAAGTGCACCCTCTACTATCAATTTCACTGGTACAGCGAAAACAGTGAGTGCACAAATTCCCCGGCAGGTAGATGGATGCGCACAATCACATGCACAAAGCAAGATGGCTTGATTGATACGAGTGTTTTAACGTTAGTTACTCAGCTACTGTCAAACAGGGAGTGTGAACACGCCACCCATGGAGTCGATACAAAGTGGAAGGAATGTTTGCCGTCGAACAATGCAGCAAAACTGTCGACGGACACGTGTGAATAATTTGCAGAGCTCTCATGGTTCCCTGCCACTGTTGGACAACCTCATATACACATAACACTCTATAAAAGGTCTTCCGTCCTGAGCCATTCAAGCGATTGAACACAATCAGAACTGACAACAGAAGCAATTCTGAATAAGTAATTGAGCACTTTTGGAATTCTTACTAAATGGTGGCAGCTGGACTGTCCGATTTTTCCCAAGAGGAGCATTCGAGTTAACCGAGAGAGCGAGAGAGAGAGAGGAGAAGAGGAGCATCGAGTTAACCGAGAGAGCGAGAGAGAGAGAGGAGATGTATAGAGAAGAACGATAAATGAAATTGGGGAGTGAAGCAGAAAGGGCCGGCTGGTCTGGTCAGGTTTCTGCAACCTCTTGAAAAGAAACCAAAGATTCTAACCTGGATCTCGTGTTTCCGTTTTTTCGCACTACTACCTGACATTTTAGCCGGTCATTCCACTAGGACTCTGCGAAAAGTCTAGAAGGTGATTTACTAGAGGTAGCAGAAAAAGAGGGTTTGTCCCATCACTGGTCAGGTTTGTGAGAGATGGGGGCAAGATGGCCCAAGCGGTTAGAGCGCAAGTTCACTGACCGGAAGGTTCGTGGTTCCAACCCAAACTCTGCCTCTCGACTTCCCCTGTCTAGGCCTGGGCAACCTGGTAGTATCCCGGCCCTCGTGATTACTCCGGATGGCATGGCAGCTAGGCACCGCAGGGGTGTTACAGCTGAACGATTTTTTTGTGAATTATGATTAAAAGTCCGAGGCACAGAATCCGTTCCGGAAGATAAACCTGCCAAGTAATTGCAATGAATCTTTTATAAGGCAGTTTGCTCATGCAAACCACTTGGTCCAGGCAACAGTACGTCTACCGGTGGTATTGCCATTGGACACGTACTAAATGAACATACAGAACATGACTGAAGACCTTGCCTGGAATACCGAAATCTTTTCCCTAAAGGGTGCAGTTTAGTTTATCAAACAGGTAGCCAAAATTTTTCACATCGGTAAAAAATGAAAGGAACTCACTAGAATTTTTGATGTGTATCCACTGTTGACTGAAATATTCCAAACGATCAAATCGACCACGGACTTGGGTAACTGCGTTTCTTTCGGTATCTCCCTGTAATGATGACCGCCAATGTAACATTGAACTGCTGTCATGCGGTTGGTTGTTAGTGTGCCCGTCTTGTCTGAACAAATCGCGGTCGCATTGCCCATTGTCTCGCAAGCATCCAAATGACGAACCAAGTTGTTGTCCTAAATGAAAACAAAACGGTAAGATCCATAGATTAGCAAGTAGACAAGACTTGCAAATGTGTACTGTCTCAATGCTTTGAACCCTATTTCGAACAGAAGTCGCTTCCCAATAGTAAATGGGTGTGACTTCGTTGTCTTTTTGCTGACGGGGATATCATGAGGCTACAGGCGAAACGAAAATGGAGGTAACCCGGTTATGGTTAAGTGAAGAAGTCACTGGATAGGAGAAAGAAACCCCGTGTCCCTGGGCCCTTCGGAGACACTCACGAATTTGTCAATAACATCTGGCTAGATTTAAAGCCCATGGGTTGGTGTTGATTGGGTTGTTTACGATGATCAACGAGATAGTCAACTCGATAATTAACTAATAGTCTACAGCCGACTGGAACAAACATACAACTGCACGTGATACTTCGCCTGTCAGGATGTGACAAGTCTGCGGTTTCACTCAGCAAGTCCGAAAATTGATTCTTACGGGAAAACACACTTCTTGAACACATAATAACGCTAACGATGTAGTGGACCTTCCAATCGATAGTGTGATTTACGGAACTGAAAGTTGTAGAAAGAACACAAGTAAGCGGGACGTAAGGTCAGTTCGGTCAGCAACATCACACAGATGGATGTCGTCAGACGCAAAAGGAATCGTCAAGTTTCTGCCCTCTTAATTGTTTTAAAGAAACCTGAAATTCTGACTATACTTCGATATTAGTCCTATCCATACAGCTGAGTTCACACTTTTGGTGGATACCTACGCTAAAAAGCAGTCGGAAGAACCAGAGGACTAATCTGATCAATGGTCAACTATATCGAAAGGAAAGCTTGCAACAGACTAAAAAAACGGAGCGGCCCGAGGCCGATTCAAGTGTAATAAGAAGAAAAGCAAACTCCAACTAACAACTCCAAATCAGTCACCAACATAAAGTGTTGGTGACAGACGGAAGAACTGTTGTGTCTTCCAATCAGAGTAACTTAGTCTTACAAACTGGATCCAGGGTGATTTGCTCAAACCCACAGATCTGCTTGGCAGTTCACCCCCAAAAGAGACTGTTTGGCTGACCCGGACGGTGCAAAGGCAAAATCAGATAGCAACCATTGACAGCAATAGGTAGCCTTCCCTTCGAAAAGAAGTTAAAACAATTATCAAACTGACTGGAACTTCGTCCACAAGGTGCAACCATGTCAGGAAGGCCAAAGGAGAGCAGTCAGACAAAGAGCAACGAGACCGCGTACTACGAGTAATCGTGCTACGAGACGGTCTGGGGGTGATGTCGTACTGTCCTCTGCGACGGGTGTGAAGGCAGTAAGATGTTCCCCCCAAGTGACCAGCATGTCCATATTTATGGACTCAGCGATTCCGCCTTTCCCGAACAAGGATGGGCTAGAAAACGTCAGACCCAGAACCTCACACTCCGATCGTCCAACGGTCCACTGTGACCACCGGCGCATTGTTCAATAGGGTCGAAATACTTTTGAAACCAAGGCGTCTGGTGCCGCTCAGAAGGCACCTGCTGTGTGTAGCTGCACTAGGAGTGAGACAGTAATCTCTACACCCTCGCGCCAGGCCTGCCCTTTGCAGCCAAGTGGGTCAGACTATTGAGTTAATGGCTCGGAGCAGGGTCTCATAAGAAAACGCTAACAACCGTGGTCTTGCGGTTCAGATTCACCTTGCAACCTTTAAGGTCCGTACTTTATGTACGGTTGAGCAACATGAATCCCTTACTGAAACCTTGCTTTCCCTCTCTACCAGTGTATGCTGTGTCTCCAAAACACGCCTACAAGACTCCACGTCGGTCGTGCTCCTCAAGTCACTTAGGACGAGTTCAGGTGTTCCACATTTCACTCTTCGGGTATCTGGTGATCATAACGCAATGGCTCCTGATATCTACGGTGTGTGTGTGTGGGGGGGGTGCACTCCAATGTTGAAAGCGCCTTACTAAATTGGATCCCAGTAGACAGTCGCCTTTGCAACGAGCGGATGTCTGGTTCAGTTAAGATTGCCGCACGTCGACGTGGGAAACGATATTTGTCGTAGCAGCATGCCCCAACAGACTGCAGTTCTGAGACTGAGAAGGACGAGTTCAACAGGAAAGTTTAGCTGGGTTTCCGCAACAGAGCCTCCGGGGGCA